TTTACCCCTTTAATACTCAGATGGAGCGGGTTAGGGTAGGTATGCTCTTGTGCAAAAATACTATTCTCAGTTCCACCATTTCTGTTTATAATGTACTGTATGAAAGTGGCTTACCACATATTTGTGTGAGGTTATTACGATACAGCAGTAAGACATGACAGAATTGGCTGCAGTGTGATAAAGAATTGTTTGTGTCAACCTCCAAGCAGAGTGACATGGAGCAGTATGCAGAACTTGTACAGTAGAGCAAATATGGGCAACTTAATTATGAGGCCATAATTTCTTCATCTCTACAGCCATCTAAGGGAAGCTATAGAACTAGAATTTACCAGAACCCAGAGATCACATTACAGCTTTTGAGTTGAAACCCAATTCTTGGATCCATTTTCTATGTCACCTTCTTCCTTTCACCCCGCCCGCTCTCTCTCCTTTCTTCTCCTCCCCTTCCTCCAAAACATCCAGGGAAGGTTTCTGCTGCTTTTCCCTGCTTTTGAAGTCCATCCAGTCAGAACAGACTTTCTGACCTTAAAGCAGCCTTGCCTACTTCTCCAGCAAATTGGGTGACTCTTGTTGTTCACGTTGCATTAGCCATGAATTGGGGAGGGGTTACTGGTTTTTCCTGCTACAGTCTGTTGTATCATAATTGCCACTTAAGAGTGTCCTGTTTGGAAAATCTGATTTAGAAAAATGCATAAAGAAAAGGAGTACCTGTCAGAAAAATGCATATTGCTCCTTGAGAATTCATTCACAGGAGAGGAATGAGGGCCAGGGAAGGAGTCTTGCCTGCCCTTGGTGAATAATGGTCTGTGTAGGAGAGGACATGTGGTTGTTTCCACCAAGGTTAGTTATTGACACAAATGGTAGATTTAAATTCTTTGTAAAGTGGACTGTTTTGACGTAGTTCAAATTTTGTATCACAGGCCTGCCACTGAACATAACTCTGACCTGAAAGTGTGCATGTGTGTGTGTGTATCTTCCTACTGTATTTTCCACTGCATACATCTAATAAAAGTGGGTTTTAGCCCACGAAAGCTTATGCTCAAATAAATTTGTTAGCCTCTAAGGTGCCACAAGTACTCCTTTTCTTTTTGCTGATACAGACTAACACGGCTATCACTCTGAAACCTGTCTCCTATTGCAGTATGGCACTCCACTGGGTAAGGAGTCCTAATAGCTGTGGGGTTTTATAATCTATATGAACATGCCCCCAGGAGAGCCAGGGTAATTGCTTAACTTGAGTCACTTGTTGCCAAAACCATTTCTAATTCTGCTTTTCCAGAAACAGAAAATAGTAACGTTAAATTTACTGGTTTCAGAGTAACAGCCGTGTTAGTCTGTATTTGCAAAAAGAAAAGGAGGACTTGTGGCACCTTAGAGACTAACCAATTTATTTGAGCATAAGCTTTCGTGAGCTACACTCACTTCATCGGATGCATACTGTGGAAAGTGTAGAAGATCTTTTTATACACACAAAGCATGAAAAAATACCTCCCCCCACCCCACTCTCCTGCTGGTAATAGCTTATCTAAAGTGATCACTCTCCTTACTTCTAAATTAGAACATCAAATGCTGATCTGTCTAGTCCTACAAAGAGAGCAGGATTCTTCAGATGACATCCTGCTTAATCCCCAGATTTCAGTGCCCTTTTCCCATGAAACTGTTTTTCCTGGCCGTGGTAGAACGGCCATCACCACCCAGTGGTATGACTCGTCAGGGATTTAGACATCTCAGTTCCTGGATAATAATATTTGACTGACTTTAAGCTTCAGATTTTGTGTTCAAATTGCTGCAAATGGGGCCCATTTTTTTAACAAAGTCAAATTCAAAGCATCTCCTGTTTCTAAGGCATGCTCAAATGGGTCATGGGTTAGTACTGGAAATTAAGGCATATTCAATTCATTATTAGCTGCAGCAGCATAGTAATTTGTAACTATAGGTGACTGGGGAAAATATTTCCACTAGAGGGAGCCAACACGTTTGGTATGCAGTGAGCATGGACTGTAACAGAGATAGGTTATGTTGCACAAAGGCAACTAAGTTTCTAATGAATTATAAAACTCGTAATCAATCTGTTCATTAGTCCCTAAGTATGAAGTAGGTTTGAATATCCATTTGGCTTTCTAAGATCTGTAGCTGGTGATCTTAACCTTGATTGTCCTAGGTGTAATACAGACAATTCCAAGTGTCCCTAGCAGTACACTGTCCATAATACTGCTCTGTTGACAGTACTCGGCTGGACCAGAAAAGCATTACTATGGGGAAGCGGCTGGGTTTCTTAGCATTACAAACCCAGAACTCTTCTGTCACGTCTCTGAGTGCAAACTCTGTCCCATGGGAAGCAGTGACTTGCATGTTTATTTAAGTGCATAGTAATTCTAACCAATCACATAAGTCTTAATAAACACTACCGTTTTTCTCTTGTTCATCAGCAGTATTAAAAGTATTGTGCCGGACTGATTTGTTTGTGAAGTGCATTTTGTTAGTGTTTGTAAGTTAGTATCTTAATTTTGAGAACAATAATTAAATGGGCAAGATGTTTAATGACCCCTTTTTAATAATGTTACAGACGTTAACTGAAGTACGAAGTTTGAAGTTTCCACCATTGTTTACTCAAAAATATGCACAGGAGGTAAATATATTTGATCTTAGTTCTATATTACAAAGTAACTGGAATGCTAAGTGGCAAAGACAAGAGAAGTAGTTTTAGCTGTTCTGTTTTTAAACCAAATTCCTATTTCAGGTACTTTACTGTGCCTCTGAAATAAGGAGTAGTAATTTTTAAATCACAGTGCTGTAACCTGTACACTGATACCTTTTGCCTCACATAGTCTAATTGCTATGAGTTGAAAATATCTGGTTTTGCTAATGTGGGAGCATGCACCTTACATAATCTCTTTTCCCATCCATCCCATCTTCCTGTTTTAAATCCATATTCATAATGCAGGAAACAGTCCTAGATAAGTGAAACTGGGGCTGCAGATGAATTCTCTCACACACCCTTGGGAACCAACTATAAGAGTTGAATCTCATTAAGGGGAAAATTGTGTAAGAAAATATATATCATGGGGGCATGACATGCCATATTTTGGGTTGTCAAATCTGTCCCTCTAAAGTAGTAGGATAACTTCAGAGGAAGAGGGTCCTAATTTGAAAAAACCCTTCATGAGAAATTGAGTCTCTCTCATTTCCAGTTTCTTTTCTGGCTGCTTCAGCCCTGTACTCAGACTAGATCAGCCTCCTTCTCCAGCTACCTCTTCAGCCTGACTTCTACAGGTGTGGTCTGCTGTGAGTACTGAGCTGAAGTGAGATTAAAGGTGCGTTATTTCTCTGAAGGTACAGTAAATATTTAGTTTTAACTATTTCAAATATGTATTTAATGTGTATCTACTTATATTATGCTTTGACACATTGAGTTTCCCTTTAAGACTAGTTATCAGTAGTTCCTTAAATCTAAGGATTGAGTGCATGCTTAAGGGAAACTTGGCCCAAGATTTGTAGAGTTTGTAAATGTGCAATTATTATTTTTCCCCTTTTGCTTTATTAAAAGATCTTGGGCCAGATTTGACTAGACAAGTGGGCCTTTAATCCTTTAGACATAAGGGTCAATCTGATGCCACTGTGAATCCAGATTTCAGGCCTTTTATATACTCCCAACCACTGTGCCAAAGGATTAATGAACAAATTGCTAGAAAAATATTTTGGGGTGTCGTCTAGTTGTTCATGCATCTAAAACTAAAGCTAGAACATTAAATACCAAAGCCATTTGAAAATAGTTTTGCTGTCTGAAATGTCACCTAGGACATCATTTGTTTTCTTCCAGTACACTATGGTAAAGCACATGCTCTCTCCAAGTCCCACTGAAAGACCAGAGGCAGAAGACATCATAGAAAACTCTTTATTTGAAGACTTAGAACTCCCAGCAAAATCACTGCTTAGGCAGAGGTCACGGACAATGAGTTCCTCTGGAATTAAGCATTCAAGACAACCAAGCAAATAATTGGGCATAATTATCCTGAGTACACTCAACACATCTCAAAGTGACTATTCAGCAGGCCGGACCTCTGGCACATAATGTTGTTCTCTGAAACAGTTGTTCTTGATTTCTCACGTTACGCAGAAAACAGGTTGGATGGAGCTCCGTTAATCTTGTTCACTATTGTTAGATGACCCAATGCAAGCCAATAACTAAACTTTTTGCATTCCATTACTCTTTCTACCTTGACCCTCATAGGTTGATTGGTCCAGCACACTGCTTCCATTTTGTTTGAATACTGTAAATGTTAGCTGTCTGGGGAAACTGGAGAGATCTGTAATATGTAAATAGAATTAAAATACTGTATTTTTATAGAATAAATTAGTCTCTAAACCTGATGACTATATTCCCTGATCTCTCTCCTCTCTGGAGAAATGAAGGTGATCTCGAAACTTTGAAAAATCATGACTCCATTTTTTTCCCTGGTGGGTAAACTGGGAATCTGCACTATTTTTAAAGTAAAAGTATCACAGATGTACATATGGTCACTATTCATAGCCTGTCTTTAGAAGAACTGGTGGATTGTATTTCCACGCCATAGTAGATTTTAGGGGATGTGTTTTGTACTAACAAGCCTGTAGAGAGCAAAAGGAGGTTTTTGTCCCCCGCTCCCCCTCCCCAAAAAAGGTTATAGATACTGATATGAAGAGCCATAGTAAGAAATTAAGCATATATCAAAATCTTGAAATTCTGGAATTTTTAAACCTAATTAAGTCATAAGTATGTTATGTAATATTGTAGATTTGTACTTTTTTAAATCAACTGTAGGCATTTGTGTCATCTGCTAATTTAACTGCCTAATACGAAGCTTTTATTGTTCATTGTAAATATGTTCATTTTTATTTATAAAATGCAGAATCAATCCATTTGGGTTGGTGGTGTACAGAATGCACTTACTACAGTTGTGGAGTGCATTAATTATTGTGACTTCTTTCAAGTCTAAATGATTTAATAAAGTTTTTTATTTAAAGCTTTATAGTTGCTTTTCTTTAAAAACAAAAACTATACACAATAAGCAACCCAGATGGCAGGTTTACATGGGCTGAAGGGGATAGAAAAGCCAGTTCTCCAACTTATTTTACTTTTGCGTCAAGTTCAGTTTTATTATTTGCACTGTGACAAGTTTGATTCTTACTAACTTACAAGACTGAGGTGGGACTTTCAGCTGTGCTAAAATGCTGGTTGATGAAGGGGCCACACCAAAAGGAGACAGATACTGAGACTTTCTCTTAGGAGAATTAACCTTTGTCCTGAAATTTCTGAAGACTGGTCTTAGTCTAGAGATGAGTGTATTGGGGAAGTTTGAAGAAAATAATTTTAATACTAAAAATCATAGAATCATAGAATATCAGGGTTGGAAGGGACCCCAGAAGGTCATCTAGTCCAACCCCCTGCTCAAAGCAGGACCAATTCCCAGTTAAATCATCCCAGCCAGGGCTTTGTCAAGCCTGACCTTAAAAACCTCTAAGGAAGGAGATTCTACCACCTCCCTAGGTAAAAAAATTTTGTGTGTTGATGCTTTTGTTCTTGTCATAAATATAAAGGGAACTCACAAGTTTGTCTGATATCTTGAAGTTGTAGTCCTTGATGAGGACTTTTTCCGTCTCTCTAACCCCCTCCCTCTTCCACAAAATGTACCTCTATGATCTATGAGTGAGTCAGGTTGGTGTACTATAGACCAGAGAAGTGTCAAAGGTCTGTCACTGAATCCAATTGACTCCAGCATCTGACTGAAGTGAAATTTTATGTCATGGTAACAGAAGGCTCCAAGGATATGTCTTCCCTGCAATTAAACGTTTGCAGCTGGCCCACGCCAACTGACTCTGTCTCCTTGGGCTGGGGCTGCAGGGCTGTAAAATTGTGGTATAGACATTCAGGCTTGGGCTGGAGCCCAGGGAGGGTCTCAGAGCCTAGGCTCCAGCCAGAGCATCTACCCCACAGTTAAACAGCCCCGTTGTCTAAGCCCCGGGAGCCTGAGTCAGCTGACAAAGCCAGCTGTGGGTGTTTAGTTGCAGTGTAGAATACCATAAAAGGTCCTTCTTCATGCCTTCCAGCCAGTGGAAGTGTTCTGAATGGCGGGTTGACTGATGAAGCCAGATTGCCTTGAGGAGGCTGCTGTGCAGAAAAATTCAATCAGATTCAGGGCATTCTGGAGCCAGACTATAGCAGAGTCAAAACAGGAGGGATCACATGTGCTGCCTTCCTTGAGAGTTTCCCAGCTTCACAGTCAGACTGACTGGGCACAGGGAGAGTTTCTCTCAGCCACCCCTGAGCCCCAGTATGTTTCACCTCATCAGCAGGGAGGTTTTATTGTACAATGTCTGGTCACATTCAAAACTTGGGTGAATCTCTCACCACCACCCCCGCCCCACTTCCTTCTACAGCTGTTAATGTTGTACTGTTAAGCAACTGCTGAACTCCATGCCAGAGGTTTCTATGGCATTTTAGTGGTAGGATAAGTAATTCTTACATCTCTTACCTGCCAATCCAGTGTCCTGTGCAGCTTTTTTAGACAATTGTAAACCACTTATAACATCTTGGACAACAGGGGCTGTATAAGTTCTATAGAATGATAAAGGTCTCCATACTTGTTTCAGCCAACAGTCGTATTTGGTTGGGCAGCCTTCCAAAGGTCTGGGACACAATTCATGTAAATGAACACCTCTCCTATCTGTCTGCACTTGCTGTTGATGAATCACTTATTTTAAATCTCTCAGACTTAGTTTGGAAAGTTATAAGCTTTGCAACTACACACTTATTTCTGAAGAAAATTGGCGTGGGATCTACCACGGTGCAGAGAGCCAGCACAAGACCTAGGCACCGCTGAGGTCACTGGTGGCTGGGTCTTGTGCTGTCTCTCTGCACATGAGTGACTTTCATTCATAGGCTAGAGCCTACCAACACCTCTGTGCATGATGAACTTTATTCACAAGTAGTCCCATTGAAAATGTGCAAGTAATGTTGAGCTTGTAACATAAGCTTTTGCAGGACCAGGGCTGTATTGAATTGCCCTGAGAGAGTGCACATATACTCAGTTGTAGATTACACCCAGGCTAAAAGGCGCTCAGTGAGCACAATTCATTTTTCATGGCTACTTTTTCAACATAAAGACTGAATCATTCACAGGAAACTTTTCTGCTATTTATATATAGTGTAATTTTTTTTAGTGGAAAACTAGTAAATTGGTTATGACAACTCAGCTGCAAGATCAAGGTCCCTTGCTGTTCTTTCAGAAAGTGCTACTAATTTTGTTCACAGCACAAAGGAAGATGAAAGGACAATATGGCATCATCCTGTTGCTCACATTTCACACAGATTACAGCCAAAATAAAAATGCATTTGTAATCTTGCACCCAATCTCTTCCCAAAAAAATTCAATTAATAGACACCCCCCCTCCCAAAAAAAATACACATCAGTCCCCATACACTCTGCATCTGTCACATCCTGCAACAAGTAACCCAGAACTTTATTGTTTGTGCTTGCTCTTCAGCGCTCCAGTAGGCATTGGGACTTTAATGCTGTATTCTGGGTCTTGAGCAGTCTTGGAAAAGGTGGCTATTGAAACCATATCTTCTCCAATACCCACCTGAGACCTGCGCCTGCAGGTGAACAGGTTCTTCAGAGCCCGTTGGAAGTCCCGATTCAGAAAGGCGTAGAGCATGGGATTGATAGTAGAATTGCAATAACCTAACCAAGTTATGATCTTGAAGGCATCAACCAGGACTGGGCTGGTGGAATTGGTACCTTTGGCAGCTAGCCATATATTCAGAACAAAGTATGGTAACCAGCACAATATGAAGACTGAGATGATGATGCTAATTGTCCGAGTGGCTTTGTTTTCCAGCTGCAGGTTGTTCTGCCTCTTGCTGTTGGGATGGTAGTGAATTTCAAGGGACTGAGACATGATGCGAGTGGCCTTGAGTCGTGATGCTCGGTAGATGAAGAAATACATGCTGCACATAATCATGAAGGGGACAAAAAATGCCAGGGCAGAAGCTACGATGGCAAAAGTCCAGTTGGTGACAAAGATGCACTCTTTGCCAGCATCAAAATCTACACCAGGTATCTCATTCCAGCCTTGCATGACTGGTAGGAAGGAAATGAGGGAGGAGTATACCCAGACCATACAGGTCATTACGATGCACCTGCAAATGGAAGATCAGGAGGGTAAAAACTTGGGAGTACAAGTTATTCTGAGATCTTCCTTGAAAACAGCTGACACTAATGATACTCCACAGGTGTGTTGTGGAGATTAGTCAATGCTTCTGAAGTGCTCTGAAGAGGTGAGTATAGAGAAGCCTGAGACACACTGTTTGGGTCCAAATTTGAACATTTCCAAAGTCTGGATTATTTGGATTAGGCTTAGATTTAGGCCAGTCTGTGTATCAGGGACCCATAGAACTGGTTGGAAAAATAGCGGGAAACATTGTTTCAGGGAATATTTTCTTTTCTGTTAGAATATTGACACACTGAAATTTTCCAACCAGTTGTAGGGTCAGGAGGTGATCATCATTTTACGCTTCTAAGACATGGTGCCCAAATTTTGCGACCCTTTTACACAGTTTAGCAGGGCCCTCAGGACAACTCCCTAATTTCCCATCTAGATTTATGAACTTTTTAAAAAATGGACACATGCAGCCATACTATTAGAGTTCTTATCTTGCTAGAATACAACTAGATTGCTGGCTGCAGAGGGCAAGGCCAGGGCATGGGGAAAGTCACACTTACATAAAGTGTCCCAGCACGCAGCAGCCCTCTACTGTAGGTTTCCTATGGAACACTGGTAGGAGCTTAAACCTGCCCTCACCACGGGAACTCCTGGGTTAGGATGGTGAGGGTAAATCCATGACATGCCCTGCCCACACCTTGAATACTGCATCCAGTTCTAGTCCCTCTCATCTCAGAAAAGACACGTTAGAATTGCAAAAGGTACTGAGCAGGGCCATGAAAATGATTAGAGGAATGGAACAGCTTCCATATGAGGAGAGATTTAAAAGACTGGGCCAGTTCAACTTGGAAAAGATTATTAAAGGGGGGATATGACAGAGGCCTACAAAATTGTGACTGAATTGAAGAAAGTGAATAAGGAAGTATTATTTACTCTTTCACATAACACCAGAACCAGGGGTCACCCAATGAAATTTATAGGCAGTAGGTCTACAACAAACATAAGGAAGTACTTCCTCACACAATGCACAGTTAACCTGTGGAACTCGTTGCCAGGGGATGTTGTGAAGACCAAAAGTATAACTGAGTTCAAAGAAGACTTAGATAATTTCATGCCTAATAGCCATTGATGGACCTATCCTCCAAGATGGTCAGGGATGGGAACTTCATGCTCCAGGTGTCCTTAAACCTGTGATTGCCAGACACAGGGACTCCATGATGGGGGATGGATCATTCTAAATTGCCCTGTTCTGTTCATTCCCTCTGAAATGTCTGGTACTGGCCACTGTCAGAAGACAGGACATTGGGCTTAATGGACCATTGGGCTGACCCAGTATGGCCCTTCTTACGTTTTTTTGGAGGGTCCCACTACCTACATTTTCCCGGGCATCACTACTTCCTGAAACATGTAGGTGGGCACACTGACTCCCTTGTGCCTTCAGCTATGTATCAAGTCTGTAGCACTGCCTAAAACTCATTACTAGCCAAATAATTTTGCAACATGTTCCTAATTCAAAAGGGGCATTCATAGAAGTGCATCCAGGCCAGGTCAGCCATGGGGTTCTTTACAAAGTAGGGGTCTTTAAATGGTGCAAAGGGCTGCTTATCAAATACAGATCAGATTTTGGGTGGTGGCTGCAAATGGCACATCTGGAATTGTCATGGCCCATAGTAAGGGTGTGTTCCACATCTGAGTAAAAACTCTGAAGGATTTGGGGACTCAAAAATTAGCACTATGGGGAGTTAAATATAAATAAACTAGTAGCTGAAAGCCTGTCCTGTCACACAGGTGTGGCATTTGGGCCAACTAATCCACTTCATAAAGGACCACTGGGTGTACTTCATAAAATCAAAATGGCTGAGAACTTAAAAATTGGACAGTGATGGACAGCGTCACCCAGTGGTGACTGAACCTGGTGCTATTCTAAACAAAAAGAGCTCTCAGCCATGCTTGTAGCTGTTTCCATCACTTCACACTGTATAGACATTCTAGACTTCAGAGTGACCATCCTGGGATCTTATTACATAGATACTATTTTAGAATATGAGACTTGATTGCCTGTGTCTAGGTACTTGTATGATCTCCATTACTAGAGTATTTGACTGCCTCACACTCTTTATTTAGCCTCACAACACACATCTGTGAGGCAGGGCAGTGCTATGATCTCCATTTTATAGATGGGGGACCTGTGACATAGAGACTAAGTGACTTGCCCAAGGTCACACAGGAAGTCTGTGGCAGATCAGGAAATGAAGTCAAGCTTTCCCAAGTCCCTTGCTAGCCCACTGGACAATTCTTCCTCTCAATTCTTGATCTTAAATTATTCTTTCTTAATGGGTGCAGTTCTTAGCTCCCATTTGAATTTGAGGTGTAAGAGCAGAGATGGCAATCTGTCCAAATTAGCCCTCTGGGGATGTTTATGATAGTTGTTAAACCCTGGAATTGGGACTGATGATGGAACATCTGACAGATCCTAAAACCTTCCTCCATCTCCACGATCTTTTGAGAAGTATACTCGCCTTCGACGTGACATCCTCATTGAATAATGATAGGGGGTCACCACGGAGCAATATCTATCCAGACTGATAAAGCACAATGTGACAATGGACGCCGTGCAGAACATGACATCAAAAGAAATCCACACTTTACAGAACAGCTTCCCAAATAGCCACATCCCTGTCACCTCATAAATTATGCTGTGGGATGGTGAGAGAGAGAGAGAGAGAGAGCACAATATATTGTTACAATTGAAGAGTGATTATTTTTCTGCTATGTAGAAGCCTATTTACCCAAGACCCAAGTTTATGTCATACCCTGTTGGCAAGATTAGTGAAAATATGGCGACTGCTATTGAGACACATTGAAATTTTGTTAGGAGGCAAATTGGAGTAATCCCCAAGTTTGATGCCCAAGACTTTAGCCTGATATGGGACATAGTTAAGGTCCCACTTATGCTACAAGATGGAATGCTGTTTTAATGGAATCCCTTGGCATGGTTGCAGCTTTAGTGCAGATCATCTCTAATTTATTTTTATTTTCATATATGGTTATATTTGTCACAGGCTTTTTCCGTGCCACAAGAAGACACTTATGGAACCAAAACGAGAGAGCTATTCTTCACAACAGCTCATATTGGAGCACTGGAAGATCAACCTCATCTTTTGCACTGTAGAATTTTTCAGCATGCTGGATTTTGCCTCTTTTGTATAAAAAAAAAAAAAAAAAAAAATTTTATCACCATCCCAAAAGATAAGGTCTTACATTTTTTCTCAGCCATCTTCAGTAATCAATTCAGTGGCAATTTTTGCCCTTTTTGCACTGTGCTGAAGAAGAGAGCTTATATTAGGTTCTAACTGACATTTTGATGTATTATCTGGATGGTGCTGTTTTAGACTGTGTTTTTCTTTTTGTATTTGACGAAGAGATGTCATATGTGATTAAATAAAATTGAACTGCATAGTCTTCTCATGATATTTCAATTCCTGGGCTTGGAATAGCTTCCCTCCTCCAACGTTCCAAGCAGCTTTGGTACTTCCCATCTGGTCTGCTACTTCAGATTTCATGCATTTTAGCTTCTGGATAATGGGATTCATATGAGAACCCCAGTTCTCATGTTGTTTAGCCTATAAATGCCTCACTGAGGCAAGTAAGCCAGTGAAAATCACTCACCTGCACCAAAATATTACCAACAAAGTCAGAGAAACCATAACAAATGAACGAAGAGTACTTGTGGCACCTTAGAAACTAATATTTGTTTGAGCATAAGCTTCCGTGGGCTAAAACCCACTTCATTGGATGCATGCAGTGGAAAATACAATAGGAAGATATATATATAGATACAGATATACAGAGAACATGAAAAAATGGGTGTTGCCATACACACTATAAGAAGAGTGATCAATTAAGGTGATCACTTAATTGATCACCTTAACTGATCACTCTCATCATAGTGTATATGGCAACACCCATTTTTTCATGTTCTCTGTGTGGGTATATATATCTTCCTCCTGTATTTTCCATTGCATGCATCCGATGAAGTGGGTTTTAGCCCACGGAAGCTTATGCTCAAATAAATTTGCTAGTCTCTACGGTGCCACAAGTACTCCTGTTCTTTTTGCTGATACAGACTAACACAGCTGCCACTCTGAAACCCGTAACAAATGAGTAACCAGTCAGGAAGCTTGAGGCAGGAGTACAACGGGCTGTGTGGTCTGCAATTTACCTGGCTGCAATATGTTTCTTCCTACTTTTACCAGCTTTATATAAGTCCTTGACTTCTCCTGCAAAAACTTTCTATTGGACTTATGTTATGTGACACAGTGAACAGCTCACTGCCTTTGTGAGAATTAATTCCCGTCTCCTTCCCTGCAACTATATAGCTTCGTAGTTTCTTACCACTAAAACCACAGCAGTTGCTCTAACCCTATTGGTGTTCTTTCAGCTCTGCTGGCTAGAAAGGGGAAAGGAATGCAATCTATATAGAATGCTCTTTTTAAATGCTTGGGTTTGGTTTAATTAATTTAATTAGTATTAATTAAAACTACTTTTACAGGTTACAATTGCTCTGCCTCTTCAGAATGGTAATGGCACTCAATGTATTAGCATCTGTGCTACGGTACGAGCTAGAGGCCCCAGTCAGTACCAGAGCCTTGTTATAGGGGATGTTGTACAAACATTTATCTGAGGAGTTAGGAGGAGCTCTGTGTGTTGTCTTATATGGCCCCATTACAGTAGTATCTGAGCACCTCACAGTGTATAACATTTATCCTCACAACACCCCTGTGAGGTAGGGAAGGGCTGTTATCCCCTTTTTACAGATGATGGGATGGCTTCACAAAGGTATTGGGGGCCTGAATCCAATGTTCTGGTGACATTCTCAACATCACTGCTCAGCTGCCACTTAGCTCCGGATTCTCTGAGCTGCTGCCAATCAGCATTTGCAAAGCTGCTTGTGTCGCGATTCCTCCTCACCACTAATGACCTGCTGAGAGCCCGAGTGCAAGCCAGTTCCCTGGTGGCCCTGAAGCAGGATTTTTTAACTAGGCCTTCCCCTGCCTACCTTGCCCCAGGGGCCCAACTCCTGAAGGTGTGCTCTCAACCTCAGGTCTTTCCTGCTGGATATGTTCTACTTTGTATCGGAGTAGGGATTAGAACCTGCATCTCCCACAGGCAAACAGAGTGCCCCAACCAGTCAGCCGTCCCTTCAGCAGACTGGATAACGTGCACATTCTCTAGACACCAAGAATCTCCTCCAGCTTTTTACACAGGAGGAACCATTCTGATTTAAAATAGATGCATTCAGGCTCATACAATGGGCTTAAAATTAAGTGACGTGGCAAGCCGGAGTTTTTAGAAGAAATCAAGTGTGCTTCATGCCAAAGTGCTCTGCAAAGTACACCTATACATCACCCCTGAGATCTAGCCACGTCTGGGGTGGAGGGCAGCAGGCAAGCGCCATACAAACCACACAAGAGTTGGGGAGATTACATTTTGACTAAAGACATCATGACAAACTCCCCAACCTTATGAGAAGTGCTATAAAGCCCCCTCTCTTGAGATGTTTAAACTGGACAAAGAGCTCAGGGTCTTAGGAACAATCCTGTACTGGCAGGGTGATGGATTAGCTGACCCAATTGTGATTTCTCTCTAATTTCACTTATTTCTAAAGAATAAAGGGTGTTATGATGATATCCTCAGTGACATGAGCACAGCCTGTCCATTCACTACTGAGCACCAAATCTTAGGTGCCATTAATGAAGGAATAATATGAGATTGAGAGTATCCAGTCTCTATACTACACATATGTTGTTAACATTCCCTGAAATGTTCCAATTAACAAGAGGAGAAGCATCCAGACAGGGGTAGATGCTAGTGCTGGTTGAACATTTTTCGATGTAACAGTTTTCCCCCCTGAAAATGCAATTTTGTTGAAATTGAAATGTTTTACTGGAACATGTCAATTTTGACATTTCTGATCGGGGAAAAAAGTCAAAACGAATCATTTTGATAACGTTGAAACGTTTCGCTCCATTAAGATAAAATGCTTCATTTTTACTATCATTTGAATTAATTTTGTTTAACTTGTACATTTTATATATATATATATATATATATATATAATGTTTCCACATGACCAGAATGAAACATTTTACCTTATTAAAACAGAACATTTTGATTATTGGGATATTTGGGAATTTTCATTCCCTGAGAAATTTGTCCTTTTCAATCTGATTTGGAACAAAAACAAATGTTGAAATCTCAGAATTTCCCACAGAATAGAAATTCCACTTTCTAGTCAGTCCTAGTAGGCACTTGTGGACATGGAGAGAGGAATTAGGGGCTGATTGCCAACTTTGCTCACAGAGTAGTACCTTACTTCACAAGTAGCTTCATTGATTTCAGTAGAATTTGTGAAACAAGGTACTAGATGGCAGAACCTGTCTTTTAAGCCCCAATACGGCAAAGACTTATGCACATGCTTAACTCCAGGCACTGCGAGCAGCTCTAGTCAACCACTGAAGCTGATGCAACTACTCAGAGTGTGTACAATTAATCACCTGTGTAAGTCTTTGGAGCAACAGGGGTCTTAGTTAGCAGAGCCCTGTAGGAAAGCCAGAGAGTTTGAGGCATAGTATAGATGCCAATCTGAGAACACACTGCCAGCTGACCTGATACCTTCTTAGTGGTGATATTTAGTACTATTTTGTAATGCTTGGAAAATATAGATCCTGAAAAAATCAGAGAAATTTCAACATGAGAACCATACTTTTTTTTACCTTCTTGCTGCATCATTAATCTGAAATCAAGTGAAGCATTGTATGAGGGTCCCTTTGTCTCTATAACTAAACCTCTTTTCTTTCACTAAAGCTGGCGAAGGAGGGACTGAATGTTCCTTCCACTGAATCACATAGGCTTGTTCTTTCTGGCACGTGTTAATGAACAAAACAGTGCAGCACATCTGATTTGCTGCAATTCAGTGTAAAAGCTGAAATAGCCACGCTGGGAAGTTGTGAACCTAAATCCACCCCTATTGTACTTGTGGCATATGCTAGCCAGCTAGCTAGTCTATGGCGGTCTTGGTTCTGCCCCAAAGATGTCATGCAGCTTGATAGGGGGTCTCTATAACCTTTAAGGCCCCATATGTGATGTCCATAGTACCTGAGCTAAGTGCATACTGAGAACTTCCCCATTCTGGGAGTCTGTGACACAGAGACTCTTTGGCAAAGGTTCCCCTGCTCTTTGCAAGCAACTCTCACCTCAGACCTGACAAAGTCACTACACCAAACACGTCTTACAGAATATTTATCCATAAAGAGTAGCATGTGAGGATCTACAAGAATGCTCACAACCTGTCAAGCTTCGCAATCATTGCGAGATCAATGTACAGGTAATATATGCGGAATCATGTATTTATATTGAACGTATGCTCTATGAACTTGGCGGAGAAATTAACCGCCAGGAGGTAACATGCTGTGGTGACGGCCCATGTGGGCAAGGGGGAGTCATCACCCCGCCCTGCTTGGTTGGTGATAGAAGACCAGGCTCAATTGTTTAGCCTTGCACAATACTAAGACGTTCAATGGGAACCCATCAGGGCCAATGGCAAGCCACTGAAACCCTACGCATTGCACCACACTTAGAATGATAAACTGGAGCATTTTATTTTACCATGCTTGGAGTGCTCGTTGCCTGTAATCAAGATGTCCATCAAGCTCCGTCTATGACTCAGCTCACCGTGGTATTTGAGCACCGTAAAGCATCAGCTAACAATGCAGGGGTAATACTGCTCAATGCTAAAACAACAGATTTGAATCCTTCAGTCTCGGATCAGCTCCTCCACTCAGGAGCACATTTTTCGGCCTGATGTTTGTTTTCACCGTCCCCTTTTCCAGTTAGAAGTGTTGTGCTGACTCCTTCTCCCCCTAGTGGCTGGCTTGCATAGTACAAGAGCCCTTCTACTGCGGAGAGCTCACGTGGAGTCTCTGTTCGCTGAAATGGGATTTTAGAGGCAAAAGCTGCTGGATTCTGTGCTGGCTGACAACAGTGATGCCTATTCTCTGCAGCACTTTGATGTGCTATGTCAGAGCACTTGCAGCCTCCTAACTCCCCGAGGCTCGCAGTAATTCTGTGGTCCTGTGACATGAAGATCTTACTGCTGGACCCCTGCGGTGCTTAAAATGGCACCCTTGCCTGCATATGGTTCCCCTCGTAGTTTTCCTGATAAATATGGTGTCTCTCTCCTTAATGGGTTATTTTCTCTCTAACTGTATAATTAAGCCATTGGTTGTCATGGAAATACTTCCCCTCTTGAAATGCTATCTACCAACAACCCGCACCCCCTGTTTTTTCTTTGTTGTTTTCTCAGCCTACAAGCACTGCTCCTCTTCCCTACAAGACATAAGCATAGACAGATTACTCTTTGCTGAGCACCAGTTTCCTCAGCCCTTTTTGTTACCTCCATTTCCTTGGAGGTCAGAACCACCGCATCTCCTCCCTTCTCAGCTCTGCTGCTGATCCACAAGGAAATGTGGCATCAGATTCTCCACTCCTCCTTTACTGGGAAGAAAGCCTCTCCCGCTGCTGGTGAGGGATGCTCCCTCCCAGTTCAGGGAGGTGAGCGTTTTGCTTGGGAAATGCTCCCCCAGTCCACAGTGCTGGCCCTAGCATTTCCTTTCACCCTAACCAGGAAGGCTGTGTCAGTAGATGGATGGCAGAGGGGACATGTGGGTAGTTGGGTAAGTGGGAAGCTCTTGCAGGGAGAGCTCTTAGTTCCCTGAAGGTCCAGGAGGGGATCCCCGTGGCCACAGGAAGAATGTGGGAACTCTAGAGAACCACAGTGTGTTTAAGGGTCATGCATAGAATGAGAGGAAGAAAATCTGCTGGAGAGGAAGGGCTAGATTAAGAGGAAGAACATGTCAATCGGGTGGGAGCAAGGAGCCTGAGGTATCTGTGGGGGGAGGTGGGGCTTGTTAACCCCCCACCATGGGAGACCCAGGTTCCACTTCCAGCCCTGGTGACTTGTCCCTACAGCAAACTGGCAGGAAGACTTGCTGGAGAAAGGCCCTCAGCACAGAGCAGAAGGTAGGGGGAGGCAGTGCCCTCCACTTCCAGTGCAGAGTCTTGAGAGAGGGAGACTAAACTGGCAGAGGTAGCAGATTCTCCGCTCTGGGCTTCAACAGGGACATGGAGGTACCAACAAGCCTGAGGAAATGGGGGTTGGCAGACAGACTGCTGGAAGCACACCCCTGTTGGTTACGGTTATTAGTTATCCTTTATTTGTGACACTGCTTTCCCTGCTCCAGCCAGCTGGCATTAACATGGCTCCTTTTGTCATGGTCACCATCAGGAAAGCACCAGCTCAGCTCTGGCCATAGGGGTTCCTCAGTTAACTTGTGTTCCCACTGCTAGGGGGAGCTTGCAACAGCAGAGCACTCATCACAGCCAGTCCCTTCTGTGGAGGGAGCCCTCAGGTGTGTAGGCCCAGCTTGGCAGCCTCCTCGCACTGCAGCAAGTATTTAACTGCCAGCTACTGGCTGACACCACCCAACCAGCATCTCAGGTCGGGCAGCAAATCATGATCCTACTCCCCTCACTTCCTGCTCTTGTTCCATTTTGACTTGATCCTGAGTCATGTACTAGCCATGTGCACTGGGCCAGCCTCCACCTACGACGAACTGCCTGCTGACAAATCTGGGGGGCCCTTTTCAGTACAGAGCCTGTATACCAAACATGGGCTCTGACACGCTCCCCCTACCCCCCCACAGCACATAATGAGGACCCCAATGTAAATGATGCAGAGTCCCTAACCTTACTCCCAGTGAAGTCACTGCCAACATTCCCAATGACTTCCCATGGGCCTGAAGGAGGGGAGTGGGTTATTTCATCATGCAACCAAAACTGGAGCTATTGGAATTCATACACCCAACAAAGCAGACATAAGTTTGTGTAGCAACAGGTGAGAGTGGGAAGAGATAGAAGGGTGGTGCCAACGATGAGGCTGGAACAAGAGCTGACCGGAGGATGACCGTTGCGTTTTGTGGCAATATTCAATGGTTTGAAATTTGATTATGTTCTGCTTTGGAAGGAAACCCAAACTGTTGAACATTTGCATGAAAACAGAAGCCTGTGGATCCTGTTATTGGCCTGGGATGTGGGAACCACGAGTTCATGTCCCTCTTCTACCTGATTTAGAGCACAGGTTTTCAGCCAAGAGCACGCTACATCAGTTTGAGCAGGGGCTTGACCATTGGTCTCCCATCTCCCATTCCCAGGTATGCTAACCTCCCAGGTATAGAATCACACTCACTCTTCCCCCGTGCCCAAAAATCTTCCTGATGAAAGTTTTGTACCAACTGATGCATCTCTGTTAAACATCTCAGCTATGGTTAAACAGTATATAGAAAATACTTCAAGCAGCTCTAGTTGGGAACTGAACTGAGATTTTCCTGAGTTTGAAACTATGACTGTCTATTAATGTGGTTGGAAAGGATAATTTTAACTCTCTTCTAACACCATTTTTGTTTTCCTCTGAGACTATTTAATAGGCTTCCGCTCAATCTGTAACTCTCTCCTTGCTGGGAAATCCATTCTCCACATTATTTTAACATTTTTGTCTTATTTCTTACACATCAGGGTTTAAATTTAAATAAAAGGGCCAAATTCATTTGTAGACTTTGCCTGCTTTGCATTGCTGATGTCTGAAAGCAGATGCAAACTCTGTTTAACCAGCTGGTTAAACTGGGTTTATGGCCATTTTTCATCACCAAAGGAGAGCAATGCAGTCAGATTATAGTGGTGAATCTGGCCTAAAAGGTCTAAAGCAATTTGTCTAATCCCTCCTTAGTCTTTTTAGCCTTATGTCAATCATTAGAGCCGTGAATTTGTTTTCACCAGTGAAAGTGCAGTCAGAATACAATAATAAAGGAAAACCATCCTGGTCATTTTTGCCTTCTCAATGCAGACAGCTTTAAACAAAACAAAATTTTTAGTCGTCCATTTATAAATCACAAGCAGATCCAGACAGCTGAAAATGATAGCAATTGTTCTGTCCTGTTTATGTAGGTAAAACATTTATTTTGCAAGAACACCACTCCCCTCCTCCACTGGTGTTTGGACGGGGCTCGAAGAAATATTAAAGAGGGTATTACTGGGATAAAAATAGGATGAATAATCTAATCTTTAAAAATATGTCAGGTTACTAATACAAGTGTTATGTGCTACACAGGTAGGACATTTTTCTGAATATATGAGCTCAGATTTTTTCTCACTCTGGTTTTATTCTGGTTTAACTCCATTGACTTCAGTGGAGTTGCCCCTGGTTTCTACAAGTGTAAATGAGAGAACAATCTGGTCCAAGATATTATCTTAATGGAAACATAATTATTAAATTGAAGACTGGAACTAACTGAGGGCCTGATCTTGTATTCCTTGAACCCACAAAACTCCCATTGCCTCCAGTGGTTTTCGTAGGCTCACAAGGAATGCCAGACTAGTCTCTGAGGGAGGGAGAGCACATCTACACAGCAAGCTAGCTGAGCGCAAACCTGTCTGGACCCTGGGGGTATGTATTCAGGCAGCTGCTGGTGCTACCCACAGCTACACTGCTGGTTTTAGTGCACTAGCTCAAGCAGACCTAGCACAGGTCTATCTACTCAGGCTGGGAAGCAGGCTCCTAGCTGCAGTGTAGACATACCCTGAGTGTATGCATCATTATTCCCATTTTACAGGTAGAGAAACTGAGATACAGGGAGGTGAAGTGATTGACCCATGGTGAGTTTGTAGCAGTGCTGGGACTGGAGCCCAGGCGTCCTGTTTCCTATGCACCATCTACTAGACCATTAGACTTGCCTTCTACATAGTAGCCACTGAGCTAAGCGCTACTGAATGCCATCAAATAAGTGTATTACTAGCAGGTCTTACCTTACAAGCAGTTCTTACCTAAATGGCATGACCAGACAAGCAACGAGGAGATCTGCCATGGCTAAGGACATAATAAACATGTAAGTTGCAGTACGCAGCCTCTTCTCCACCACAGGGCAGATAAAAACCACTGTATTCCCAAACAGAGTGATCAAGTCTATGAAGGTTAGTATCAGTCCAACAGCCACCTCCCGGGGACCCATTCCTGCCCCTGTCCAGTTGCCATCTCCTCTTACCCAGGACAGGGCAGTGGAGGAGATGTTGGAGAGCGACGATGTATTTTTGTCCATCAGCATCTTCCACCGGTGTTCAGACCTGAAGCAGAGAAGAAAAAAACACAGGCTTTGAAGCAAATTAATTCCAGGTCTATGGAAGAAAAGATAGAAACCATAATTATGTCTCATTCACTTAAAAAGTCCCACGCACCCTCCTGAGCAATCTGCCCTCGCTGTGTCATTGTTACTTCACTGGGGGGAGCTTGTAATCCCAATGATAGTGTTATATATGTGCCACACTGGCTGAAAGGCATCATGAAAATTAAAAGCCTTCCTGTGAATGAAAAGCACAAAATTAGGGGAAGCTTGATACAGGGAAAAAGCACTGAGCACTGGAAAAAGAAGCAATGGGAATCTAGAATTAAAGCAGCCTTGCTAAATTCCATTCACCTGGGGTGAGTAATCTGATTTGATGGGCAAGTAAAAAATTTTCTCATTATCATCTTGGTCCTTGTCAAGGTGGATGAGAAGATTTTTCTGCTTAGTCTAGATACATACGTAACCCATTGTTCAGTATGTTCTATGTGCCCCCCTCTGTGCCTGATACTCTGATGATATGGGTCTGTTACAGCTCCTAGTCATGGAATTTTGTCCTTGAGGTCAAGCTAGAGAGGCTTATGCTCTTATCTCTAGAGGTTCCCTAGTTCGACTCCCAGTCGTGATCAGAATGTTGGTGTAATATATATTCATGGCTAGAGAGTTGGAAAATGGAATTTCCATTTGGGGGAAATTTCTGACATTTTGGCATTTATTTTTATTCTGAATCAGAATGAAAAACTGAAATTTTGAAATTTACCACAGAATGGAAATTCCCACAAATTTCGATTTTGGAGACATCAAACTGTTTCAGTTTGATAATGTTGAATTGCTCCATTTCCATGTCGAAGGGTTAGTGCACACAAATTTAAAGAGGGTCAGTAGAAACGTACTGCTGATCCATAGCTGACATTGAAGTCACAAGCTAATAGCACACATATGTCACAGCAACTAGAATTCAGTTCCATAAACCCAACTAGCCAAACCCAACCTCCCAAACTATTGGAGAATCTCTAGGTGTGACAGAATGCACCCCTGGGTTCACCCCCTCCACACTATTGTAATAATTTTTGTACACGGCATGTCTTGTAAGGTATTGTTTGAAAACTCATAATTTGCTGGTCGATATTGTCCTGATAAAATAAATGAGGCAACGTTCCATGTGACATAATAAGATTTCACTGCATGAAGTTATTAACACATGTTCCAAACCCCACAGCCCTGACCAAACTGAGGTTGGCAAACAGGTCTCTTCTAAACAAAGGAATATGTGCTTTGCTTAATTTGCATATAACCAGTAAAGAGAGTCATCAAGCTGGAAGGGAAAAAAAGAAAGTTCAATCAGGTGAGGAAAAAGCCATCAGGGAACATCCTTCCACATAGATACTTTATGTCCTAGTGCCCAGCTGGAAATGTTTTTCAAGAGGGGGGCTGAAACTATAAAAAGGAGCAACAAATACCCAAAGCCCCCCCCCCTTCCTTCCCATCACATTCACTGCACCTGAAGTGACCAAGGAAGCATTCGTTGGACTCTGGCGTACAGGTCCTGACCTACAGGGTTTGCTCAGTAAGACGCTGAAATCATGTGGTGAGAAACTTTGCTTGAATCTGATATTGTTTGTTAAGTTAGGTAATAGTAAACATCTTATCTTTGTTTTTCTTATAACCATTTCTGACTTTTATGCCTCATTATTTGTACTCAAAATCTCTTTTTGTAGTTAACAAACCTGTTTTACTGTTTTTTTCTAATCCGGTGTGTTTATACTGAAGTGCCTGAATAACTATTTGAGATAATAAGATGGCATATTATTCCGTTTAAGGAATAAATTGATTTACAATATTTTGTACTGTCTAAGAGAGGGCTGAGCAGTACAGGACATACATTTCTGGAGGGAAATTCAGGGCTGAGGGTATGTTGGGGTCACCCTGCAGTATAACCGAGGCTGGTGAGAGCCAGACTGTGACTAGGTGTGTCTGGCAGGCTGCAGTTACACACAGACACTCAGGGTGTGACTTGCATACTGGAGGTTGTTTGTGAGTGGCGCAGCTGGGAGCTACTGTAGCAAGGCATAGTAAGGCACCCAAGTTGCAGGGAAGGGGTAAAACAGCTGCTCATTAGTCTGGATTATACCCTGGCACGTCACACTAGACACATGCTAAAATGTGATACATTAAATCAAAATGAAGCCCTCCTAACACCAGCCAAGATAGTAACCCATCTGCAAAATATCAAACTTAGCCCTCAGAAATGCTTCCTCGCCCACCTGCCAGAACAACGCTCCAGCCACAAAGCAAAGTCAATTCCTTCCCGACACCCGCCCCAGGATACCTCCCATCAAACACTCCAAAGCCTAGCACTTTTGATGTTCTGGCAAACCCGCATGGGGAAGCAACTTCCAGATCCTGAAGCCCATATTTTCTAAAGTGACTATTGACTTTAGGTGTCCAGTTTGAGACACTTCAAAGGGGCTTGATTTTTGAAAGGGCAAATGAAAAGCACTTTGTGAAAATCAGCCTCTTTTAAGATGTCTCAAATTTTGCACCCAAAATCACTAATTACTCTTGAAAACCTAGGCTCCTACACTGAGAATGCCCTGTCCCAAGCACCCTCTCTATCAAACTAGGGGGCTGTTAGCTTGACTGCCTCACGCGATTACTGCTGCCACAGTATCACATGCTGGGTAAGCAAGACAGTCCCTTGGATAGCCAGGACTCCACCCATTTATGGCTTTTTCGTTTCAAGCCAAGGCTTTAAAGCTCATCTGCAAATCAAGTGACAGTCAGTGCAAGTCACAAGGAACTTGTGCCAGTGTATCTACTGATAGCTACTGGAAGAGTCTCTCTGAGGAATTAAGAACCTCCAAATAACTGTGGCGTTGAGATTTAAGTCAATTTTTCAGTTCTTATGGCAACTATAAGAGTGGATGTTCTTTCCAGTTTCATGCTCTTCAATTCCTAATAGTCTAGGAGGAGCTCAAGGTTAACTGAACTAATTCCTAATAGTCTAGCAGGGGGTCATGTGTGACTGTTCATACACACAGCCAAACATTCCCTGTTCACACAGGCATTCAAACATCCTTCATACTATACCCTGGGCAGGTTAAGCTCTGAAATTTAGCAACTGGAACGTGAAGGTGTAAATTAGCATATGCATAGTCCTGCTTTTGGCTCTTGATTTGGAATCCACTTTATTGACACAGACGTATTTCAGCGCGTGAAACTTCCTCGGAGCTGGTTTCCCACAGCGCCCCCCCTTCCCCTCTCCCCATTATCAGTGCCTTCCTTGCTATCAGTACTTAACACAACTCCCAGCTTTTGTTTGCTTGCTTGCTTCCCACATAATCCATATTTTTCCTTTTGTGGGAAAAAAAACCTGGCAATCTTCTATCAGCAGCACACTTTTCAGATCCGTGAAGCATGCAGCATTTTATATTTAATATGTTCAGATATAACCAGCTCCCAGGAAGTCTCACTCACTGAAATATGTCTGTGTCAATATAGTGGGTTTCAAATCCAGAGCCAAAGGTAGAAATATGCATATTCTAATTTACACCTTCAAATGCAAGAGGCTAAATTTCAGACATTTATTGTTAACTATACTGCTGTGTCCATGTTATATTTTTGCTTGGATGAGTGTAGCTGCACAGTGTGCATATGTGTTTTATCTGGATATGAACATAACTGTATAGTTAAAATAAATGCGTAAGAAACAGACACTTCTATATGCATTTTCAATATGTGTGATTGGGTCCATATGTACTACACACACACACATCTATATCTATGTGTATATCACGTTCTGTATTCTCTCCATACTGAACTTTGTACTAACTGTAAATTGGCTGCCAATTAATACCTCTGCTACATCAAACACAGTGGAACTAACCATATGTAGCTGGCTTTTGGTAACTAGGGTACCTTTTAGACTGGCGAAAAAACATCTGCTTTGCCCGTTTCTAACATCCTTTCCCTCCACCCCCATTTCACCTTCCAAGTTTTCAAAAACAACAGTAGTAATCCAGCTTCTAGATGCTGTATAATTAACACCACAAATAACCAGGCAATATTGACACTGCTAGATTATAAACTCCTTGTTCCTCCTCATGTGGTGACAAATAAAGTGTTGAGGTTAATGTAAAATGTGTTACCCCAGTTGATGCAATTGGATTTGGGGGGCGGGAGGGGGGGAAATGGTTCAGTGAATGAATGGATGGATAGACACACATCAGAGCAGGAGACACAGAGGAAATGCAATGCCTGTGACTGGTGAAACACTGCGGGCGATGAAGGGGGTCAGAGCATGTGCACTCACCTTTCCTTCCCCAAGTCTCCTGGCTTGAAGTTATGTCAGTGTTGTTTCCTGGAGAGTGTGCCAGGTGGAACAGCAGCATCTCCTTCTCCATCAGCGAGTGTGCGGCCAGGGGGTGCCTCCCTTCTGCAGCACATGGCCACACACAGCCCTGGACAGCTCTCAGGCTCTGATTCAGCAGATCCTACTTTTAAAAATCCACCAGCTCTGCCTACGCATCCTGGGCCGGCTGCAGAAACGGAGAGGCTGCGAGACTCGCCCACCCGCCTGCTCCAAGTGGCAGCATTAACATCTAAGGCCACCCGGGGGCGCCTCTTCTCCAAAGCACCAAACGCTTCGGTCTCCTGCCGCTGGCTGGGCTGGGGCTTCTTGCCCTTCGCTGCTCAGTGTGGTCCGGTGCGGGAGGCCATTGCAACTGGCTTCTGTGCTTGCAAGAAACAGGGATTTCTTCGTGGCCGGGAAGCCAGGGAATTCTCTCCCCAGCCCCATCCAGTCTGGAGTAGTACCCTGGTCCCCTTCAGTGTCCCCAGCAATAGCTCTCAGCCCCTTGCAGTTACTCACTGGCCAGCCCCAGGGAATCCCCCTGGCCCCATCCATTCCCTGGCCCCTGTCAGTCACTGGCCAGCCCCAGGGAATCCCCCTGCCCCCATCCATTCCCTGGCCCCTGTCAGTCACTGACCAGCCCAAGGGAATCCCCTTCCCCCATCCATTCCCTGGCCCCTGTCAGTCACTGGCCAGCCCCAGGGAATCCCCCTGCCCCCATCCATTCCCTGGCCCCTGTCAGTCACTGACCAGCCCCAGGGAATCCCCTTCCCCCATCCATTCCCTGGCCCCTGTCAGTCACTGACCAGCCCCAGGGAATCCCCCTGCCCCCATCCATTCCCTGCCCCCTGACAGTCACTGGCCAGCCCCAGGGAATCCCCCTGCCCCCATCCATTCCCTGGCCCCTGTCAGTCACTGGCCAGCCCCAGGGAATCCCCCTGCCCCCATCCATTCCCTGGCCCCTGTCAGTCACTGACCAGCCCCAGGGAATCCCCCTGCCCCATCCATTCCCTGCCCCCTGACAGTCACTGGCCAGCCCCAGGGAATCCCCCTGCCCCCATCCATTCCCTGGCCCCTGTCAGTCACTGGCCAGCCCCAGGGAATCCCCCTGCCCCCATCCATTCCCTGGCCCCTGTCAGTCACTGACCAGCCCAAGGGAATTCCCCTTCCCCATCCATTCCCTGGCCCCTGTCAGTCACTGAGCAGCCCCAGGGAATCCCCCTGCCCCCATCCATTCCCTGGCCCCTGTCAGTCACTGACCAGCCCCAGGGAATCCCCCCGCCCCCATCCATTCCCTGCCCCCTGTCAGTCACTGGCCAGCCCCAGGGAATCCCCCGGCCCCATCCATTCCCTGGCCCCTGTCAGTCACTGACCAGCCCCAGGGAATCCCCTTCCCCCATCCATTCCCTGGCCCCTGTCAGTCACTGACCAGCCCAAGGGAATTCCCCTTCCCCCATCCATTCCCTGGCCCCTGTCAGTCACTGGCCAGCCCCAGGGAATCCCCCTTCCCCCATCCATTCCCTGGCCCCTGTCAGTCACTGACCAGCCCCAGGGAATCCCCTTCCCCATCCATTCCCTGGCCCCTGTCAGTCACTGACCAGCCCCAGGGAATCCCCCGCCCCCATCCATTCCCTGGCCCCTGTCAGTCACTGGCCAGCCCCAGGGAATCCCCCTGCCCCCATCCATTCCCTGGCCCCTGTCAGTCACTGACCAGCCCCAGGGAATCCCCCTGCCCCCATCCATTCCCTGCCCCCAGGCCAGACACTGAGCAGCCCCAGGGAATCCCCCTGCCCCATCCATTCCCTGCCCCCTGTCAGTCACTGGCCAGCCCCAGGAAATCCCCACTCCCACCTCCATTCCCTGGCCCTTTACAGTCACTGGCCAGCCCACAGGAATCATAGAATCATAGGATCACAGGACTGGGAGGGACACTGATAGGTCATCTACTCCAGTCCTCTGCTCTCATGGCAGGACTAAGTATTAGCTAGACCATCCCTGACAGGTGTTTGTCTAATCTGCTCGTAAAGATCTTCAGTGATGGAGATTCCACAATCTCCACGGCTGGAGTGGCCCCAGGGACAGCCAGACCAGCCACTGCTCTGGTGATGCCCGGCAGCAGTCCCGGGCCAGCCGGAGCAGCTGCAGTCTGTGGCCCCATGCAGCAGTTCCCAGCCTACTGGCTGTGGTCCCTGGGGGGGCCAGCCGGAGCAGCCACGGTCCACAGCCCCAAGCAACTGGTGCCATTTGCACCGGGTGCCCCCGCCAGCAGCAGCCCCCTTCATCCATTTCCCCAGCACCTCTCCCCCAAGATTTAATCATGGGTATTTTTCATATAAGTAATGGACAGGTCACAGTTCATGAATTTTTGTTTATTGCCCATAACCTGTCCATGACTTTTACTAAAAATACCCAAGACTGAATCATAGCCTTACTCATGAGAAACAGGACCTTCCTGGAGGTGTGAGAGGAGCTTGCACCAACCCTTGAGCACCAGAACACTCAATTCAAGGGAGCCATACCTTTTGAGAAGTGGGTTGGTATTGCCCTGTGGTGCTAAGTATCTCGGACAGCTATAGGTCCATGTCCAACCAATCTGGGGGTGGGAGGTCCACTGTAGTGGTCGTGGTTTGTGAGGCAAATAACATTGTGGTTAACCCATGGGTGGTTGGTGTAAGTAAAATAGCTCATGGGAAAAAATAGCTAGTTTTGGGTTTGATGGAACTCATTGATGGAACTCATCTCCCAGTAGTTTGCCCCACCATAAGGGGCAAGTGAATACGTGAACAGCAAAGGGTACTACTGTAGAACCTCAGAGTTACGAACACCAGGGTTATGAACTGACCGGTCAACCAAACTCCGCATTTGGAACTGGAAGTACGTAATCAGGCCGCAGCAGAGACCAAAAAAAAAAAAAAAAAAAAATACAGTACAGAACTGTGTTAAATATAAATGGCTAAAAAAATACAGGGAAAGTTTAAAAAAAGATTTGACAAAGTAAGGAAACTGTTTCTGTGCTTATTTAATTTAAATTAAGATGGTTAAAAGCAGAAATTTCTTCTGCACAGTAAAGTTGCAAAGCTGTATTAAGCCAATGTTCAGTTGTAAACATCTGAAAGAACAACCATAACATTTCATTCAGGGTTATGAATATTTCAGAGTTACGAACAACCTCCATTCCTGAGGTGTTCATAACTCTGAGGTTCTACTCTATTCCATTGTTCTGCAAGGTCTTGTGGACCACAGAGGCAGATTTATGAACACTGAAGTGGGGTGCACTGGTAAGGTTCATGACACAAGTGTGCTGAGGAGATCAGGATTGTAAATTAAAGTGGAAATGGGGACTTCATTTCCCACAAACAAAATTGTCCTGTATAGTGTATCTGCTCCAACTGTTATTTTGGGGGACCTTGCATACCTGCTCATGACTTGGCTTATGAAACCATACCCTGTTGTCTATGTCTGTCACAGGGAGGCACAAGTTTCCTTCCCCTTGTCGCTGTGCCCTGTGCTTGGGCTGGCCAAAGAAAGGGTCTCAGATGCCTCTTGCAGGTGCTTCATCTGTATTCTTTTATTTACAGTGGCTGTACAGTCCCAATTCCCCCAACGCCTGTCCCTGCTCCGACCCCTCACTGCGTCCTCTGGTCTTTGAGGCTTGTGTCAGCCCGCAGAGACAGAGCCTCAACCCTCCTATCTTCCTGCCTGGCTCGCCCCTGTCCTGAGATCTTCCCTGGGTTTATATGCCTTCCCAGTCATCAACCCAGCTGGTTCCACTAGGCTCAGCAGATCACACAGAGCCTGCCCTCATTAGGGCCTGCAGCTGGGCTCCCTGCTAAGGGTCCGGGCCCATATACCCAGCCACCCTATGTGGAAACAGGGGGGAGCCGGCTCTTTAGCAGGGCACTCAAAGGTTTTATACCTCTGCCCTGCGACAATGACCCTGGGAAAAGGAATTTCATGTTCAAACTAAGTAGCTGCAGAATGGTCATGGAATGAGCTTTTGGTAAGCTGAAAGCTTGTTGGAGATACTTACAGATATGTTTCGATGCTAATGTGAAAAGCTCAGTTATAATAATAGTGCCGTGCTGCATGCTCCATAACATTTGTGAGCACCCAGCAGAGTGTTTCTGTCCCGAGTGAGCTCAGGACAGATCTGATTTGAGAACTGTTTACCAGGCAGCCAGATCCAAAATATATGCATACAGGTCTTGGGTCTTAGTAGGCAAAGGAAATTAGGGACACCATATGTGCACGCATCATGGCACAGCAGGAAGAGAGAAGATGATAGCAGCCTTTTGCTTATGCCATGGGATGCCCTACCATCCTATCCTTGTGCCTGTTGTACGTCTAAATGAGGGGAAATATTTAGGGACCTATGTAGCGTTATGATTGTTTTGTTCCATTTTGAGTTGCTGTTAATGATGTTTGCTATCTGTCCCCACGTGTCAGAGTGCACACATTAAGTAAGGCAATTATTGCTGGGCAACCACTTTGTGTTATCGGGTTGGTGTTGGTTAGCTGCTGTTGATGCTAGCGGCTGTATTGTTTATACGCTCACTGCTCGCTCTCTCTCTTGTTTTGTCTAGATGGTCAATAAACACGTTAACAAAGAAAGACATTGATTCCACCTTTTACTGTCCATATGTGGAGCCCAAACAACAAGAAAGGTCATACTCATGAGAGGGGAAACAGACAAATTGTAAACTTTAATACTAAGAGATAGCAGATGGTTCTTTATTGTCAGAGGAAAACACCTTTGAATTACAATAAATAGGGGCAATGTATAAAGCAGTAACAAAACTGCAAAAGTAAAATTATTAGAAAAACATAAAAAGAAAAGGAGTACTTGTGGCACCTTAGAGACTAACCAATTTATTTGAGCATAAGCTTTCGTGAGCTACAGCTCACTTCATCAGATGCATACCGTGGAAACTGCAGCAGACTTTATATATACACAGAGAATATGAAACAATACCTCCTCCCACCCCACTGTCCTGCTGGTAATAGCTTATCTAAAGTGATCATCAAGTTGGGCCATTTCCAGCACAAAAAACATAGTCACTGCAATATCATGCAAAACAGAACAATGTATTTTGTAAAAATGACTTGAGCACAATGAACACCACCCACCATTTATTGCCTTTGGTCCCCTTCCCCTTCTCCTCCTCCTCAGAAGGGGTGAATACTGGGTGAAAATGTCTCTTGGGGAAATGCA